ATTTTATTCGTTGTCATCATCTTCTTTTTTTTATTCTTCTTTTACCAATTTTTGTTCTTCAATCATTTCTTGTGTCTTCATATCCTCCGACTTATTATTCTTTTTACGTTTTTTCTTCTTCCTCATTCCCCTCACTCTCTATCTTTATCATCTTCGTCTTCTGAGACATTATATTATTCTAGTTTTTATTTATCTCTTCTTTTTGTTTTTTTCTCTTTACATTCCATTGTTTCTCCTTTGATTTATTTTTCCTTATATTCGAGTTTTCTTCTTTTCCTCTCCATATTTCCCATCTTCTTTTCCATTGACTTCTTTTCTTTTACTCGTATTTTATTAGTTCTTGTGTACGTCTTGAATTCCACCTATCAATTCATGTGATACTTTAGATTTTCAAGGATTTATGAAATAGTTTTTTTTTTTAAATCTTTATATAGTTGAGATCTTTTAAAAATCATTGTTATCTTTTGATTCTGGATTTGCTTTAATTGTTATATTTTTTTTTCTATTTGTGAATGTAATTTAGAAAGGTAGATATAAAGTTATAATCAATGATATATAATTCTGATTTCTATAATAATTCAAATTTTTAAAAAATGCACCAAAATCTAAACCCTACATCCATCAATATAAACCCTAAACCCAAACTCCACATTATAAACCGCTCTTCCCCCAAAATAAAGAACCTACACCCTAAACTCAAATCCACATTATAACTCCCCCTCAACTTCACACCTGAACCTCATATTACAAATTAGTTTTAGATTTGCTTTTATTTTTATTTGATCTATAAAAGTTTTCTTTTTTAATGGTTCTTTTCTTCTCCCTTTTATTCTTCTCTAGTGATCCCATCTTCTTCTTTTTTCTTCTATTTTTTTTATACATTGTCATCATCTTCTTTTTCTCTAGTTCTTCTTCATTTTCCAATTTTTGTTCTTCAATTGGTTCTTGTGTTTTTTTATCTCCCAACTCACTATTCTTCTTTTTCTTTCTAATTTTCGTTACATTCTATTTCCGATTTTTTTTTCCCTCATCCTCCCCCGTCTCTCTCTATCTTTATCATCTTCGTCTTCTCTGACATCATCTTATTATAGTTTTTATTTAACTCTTCTTTGTCTTTTTTTTCTTCACATTCCATTTTTTTCCTCGTGTTAAATTTTTCTTCTTCCTCTCAAAGTTTCCCATCTTTTTTTCCATCGTCTTCTTTTCTCTTATTGTTGTTTTTTGTTCTTGTCTACGTTTTGTATTTAACTTATCAATTCATTCTATAGTTTAGATTTTGTTCATTCATGAATTCAATTAATATTAGATTAACACATTTTCTTTTTAATTACTTTTAATTTCATATTTTTGTAATGCGTTTATTTTCCATGAAAGTAATAGCTTAACATTTTGTTAATTTGATAAGAACTTATAAATTGTGAAAGCACAAAAAATTAGTTAAATTTTGTAATGGTTGTTTTATTCTCCCTCTTATTCTTTTTCACTGATCCCATATTTTCTTTTTTCTTCCGTTTATTTATTCGTTGTCATCTTTTTTTTTTCCGGCTTCTTCTTTTTCAAATTTTCGTTCTTCAATCCCTTCTTGTGTCTTCATATCCTCCAACTTACTATTCTTCTTTTTCTTTCTAATTTTCTTTACATTCTTTTTACGTTTTTTCTTCTTTCTCATTCCCCTCACTCTCTATCTTTATCATCTTCGTCTTCTGAGACATCATATTATTCTAGTTTTTATTTATCTCTTCTTTGTCTTTTTTTTTCTCTTTACATTCCATTTTTTCTTCTTTGATTTATTTTTCCTCATATTCGAGTTTTCTTCTTTTTCCTCTCCATATTTCCCATCTTCTTTTCTTTTACTCGTATTTTATTAGTTCCACCTATCAATTCATCTGATCGTTTAGATTCTCAAGGATTTTTTTTTTTTGTCGACAGCCTCTATCTCTAGAACATCGGGAATCCAAACTGGTGAGATTCTCAAGGATTTATGAAATAGTTTTTTTTTGTTATCTTTATATAGTTGAGATATTCTAAAAATCTTTGTTATCTTTCGATTCTGGATTTACTTTAATTGTTATAGTTTTTTTTTTCTATTTGTGAACGTAATTTAGAAAGGTAGATATAAAGTTATAATGAATGATTTATAATTCTGATTTCTATAATCAATCAATTTTTAAAAATGCACCAAAAACTAAACCTACACCCACCAATATAAACCCTACACCCTAAAACCCAAACCCACATTGTAACCCCCCCCCCCCCCAAACGACCCTACACCCTAAACCCAAACCCCACGTTATAACTCTCCCCCTCCCCCAAAACGACCCTACACCCTAGACCGAAACCCCACGTTATAACTCTCCCCTAAACCGCACACCTAAACCCCACATCTTACAAACTTATTCTGGATTTGCTTTTATTTTTATTTTTTCCTTAAAACATTTTAAAAAAATTGTTTTTTTACTTCTTTCATATTTTTTCCTTCATTTTCTACCGTTTTCCCTTATTCTTATCAAAATTTATAATCTCTTTTTCTTTTCCTCTCTCTTCATCGATATCTTTTTATTTCCTGGTTTTTATTCGTTTTCTTCCTTTTATTTACAGTTTGTTTTTCAACTGGCTTTGTGTTCTTATTCTTCACTTTTTATCTTTTGATTTTTCCACTTCTTTATTATTCACATATTCTTCAATTCTTTTCTTCTTTTGTTTTGTTTTTTGTTCATTTTTCCCGTCTTCGTCTTCCAACTTTTGTCTTTCCTTATTTTTATTCAAGTTTTCCTTCTTATTTCAACTTGTACTTCATCATTTTGTAGTATGAGTCTTTTTCTTTTTTGCAACATTTTATTTATCAGTTTTGTCTTCCTCTTTATTTTAATTTTTATTTTTTTCTCGTCTTCTCATATTTCTTCTTCTTCATCTCCTCATATACCTTTTTGCTATTTTTTTTCAGTTGTAGTTCTTTCATCTTCTTTATTTTATTTGTGTAACATCTTAATTTTCTGGTTTTCTTTGTCTTTATCTTCTTGTACTTTACTTTCATCTTATTTATCCTCCGATTTTCTTCTTTCAAATTTTCCTTCTTATTCTCTGCTATTATATTCTTCTTCTTCTTCATTATATATGTTTTGTTATGTAAATCCATCTTTTCGGGTATTATACTTTGCTTCTTTTTCACGATGTTCTTTGTCTTCCTGGTAATATATTTCAGAGAAGATGATCAGAGGAGATAATCTTTCGAGTAAAGATAACAAACTCTTTGTTCACCCATCCTTTGAAATGGAGCTTGTCCAAGTCAGAAATCTTAGAGAAGAAGTGTTAAGGATAAATTCTATAATCAACAAACTTGAAGGGCTTTTGGAAACAGATTCGTAGACTCTTGATGAGGAATTCGAGAATTGACAGTTTCATTTTATTTCCCCATTAAAGAGACTGTCCGGAATCACGAAGGTATTTGACCAAGACTCTCATTTGCGAAGGGTTCACTTACTCTTGTTGCCGCCACCATTTTAACATTGGAATGATGTGTGTATTCCTATATGTGAATATTTGGACTCTACAATGTATAATTTTAATCGGCAATGTTGATGTATTCAAATATTCTTCCATAATAATTGGTTTTGTATTTACTTTTTTTTTTCTTAAATGTAGTATTATTTTTTTAATCGGTAATGCAGTATATTCAAATTTTTTAAAATGCACCAAAACCTAAACCTTACACCCATCAATATAAATTGTACATCATAACCCCATTTTATCTTGTTCTTTTTTTACTTTGTCTATACTTCTTTTCTATTTTTTCCTTCAATTTCTACCATCTTTTTATTCGTTTTCTACCTTTTTATTTACAATTTGTTTTTCAATTAGCTTTGTATTCTTATTCTTCATTTTTTTTTATCTTAGATTTTGTTTCTTAGGAATCATTAACCATAATTAGAGACATAATGGATCTTGACATATACTGTAACATCCCGGTTTGTGATAAATGAGGAGAGGCTTAAGAGAATTGATTTGGCTACCTATGTCAACAAAGTACACTTACATTTTCGGTCAAAGGTCTATAAGTAACTCCAGAGTTAAGCGTGCTTGGGCTGGAGTAGTTGAAGGATGGGTGACCTTCCGGGAAGTGGTTTCCAAAACCGTGTGAGTGAGGCCAAAACACGGAGAAAGGTCGGGTGTTGATTGCAGGGATAGTAGACAAATCATTAGTCTTTCAAAAATAACGGACCGGCCGTCGGACAGGGGTGAGGCCCACGGGCCGAGATGGGCCTGCGGGCCCAGAGAGAGGGCGTGGGTGACTCACCGGGAGAGGCGGTCCGGACGTTTTAATTTGGTATCAGAGCTAAACCCATACGAGAGTGTGGAGTCAAGTTGAAGTGGCCTTGACTCACACCGTCAGAGGGTGACGATCCAGGTGCGCAACGAGGACGTTGCGCATAGTGAGTGGGGGTGAGTTGTAACATCCCGGTTTGTGATAAATGAGGAGAGGCTTAAGAGAATTGATTTGGCTACCTATGTCAACAAAGTGCACTTACCTTTTCGGTCAAAGGTCTATAAGTAACTCCAGAGTTAAGCGTGCTTGGGCTGGAGTAGTTGAAGGATGGGTGACCTTCCGGGAAGTGGTTTCCGAAACCGTGTGAGTGAGGCCAAAACACGGGGAAAGGTCGGGTGTTGATTGCAGGGATAGTAAACAAGTCATTAGAGCCTCTCAAAAATAACGGACCGGCCGTCGGACAGGGGTGAGGCCCACGGGCCGAGATGGGCCTGCGGGCCCAGAGAGAGGGCGTGGGTGACTCACCGGGAGAGGCGGTCCGGACGTTTTAATTTGGTATCAGAGCTAAACCCAGACGAGAGTGTGGAATCAAGTTGAAGTGGCCTTCACTCACACCGTCAGAGGGTGACGATCCAGGTGCGCAACGAGGACGTTGCGCATAGTGAGTGGGGGTGAGTTGTAACATCCCGGTTTGTGATAAATGAGGAGAGGCTTAAGAGAATTGATTTGGCTACTTATGTCAACAAAGTGCACTTACCTTTTCGGTCAAAGGTCTATAAGTAACTCCAGAGTTAAGCGTGCTTGGGCTGGAGTAGTTGAAGGATGGGTGACCTTCCGGGAAGTGGTTTCCGAAACCGTGTGAGTGAGGCCACAACACGGGGAAAGGTCGGGTGTTGATTGCAGGGATAGTAGACAAGTCATTAGAGCCTCTCAAAAATAACGGACCGGCCGTCGGACAGGGGTGAGGCCCACGGGCCGAGATGGGCCTGCGGGCCAGAGAGAGGGCGTGGGTGACTCACCGGGAGGGGCGGTCGGGGCGTTATATATACCACCACTAATCATTAACCATAATTAGAGAGGATTTCTATTTAGAGTCCCTCAAGCCTTAACTGTTTCTAGTTTTTTTTATTACATTGTTTCTTTCCTCAGTGGCTGCTTTGATTTCTTGGCTTCACAGCTCCAGTTCGCCACCGACAACATTCTCCGGCTGGAATACCTCTGACTCCGACCCAGTGGGATGGCCTTACATCAGGTGTTCCTCCTCATACAAACCTGTTACAATGACCAATGTCGTCTCTGTTCAGATGGCTTTACCTTTCCCTTTTAACATCTCTTCGTTTAGCTCACTTTAGAAACTCGTTATCTCCAACACCACCAGAACTATCTCTTCCGATATTGAAGATTGCTCTGAACTTAGAGTTATAGATTTAAGCTCAAACAGATTCATTGGTGAAATACCTTTTACTGTAGGGAAGCTCAAGAATCTCCAAGAACTCAGTCTGTTAGATTTATCAATATATCAACAACTGCTGTTACAAATGATTCAAAAGATAGGAAGGAGGTTAAATCATACCATGTGAGATATTAGATATATAACAAAATCAAAACACATGACAACTTCATAAAAAGTCAACTTCTTTTGTTTCTTGTTGAGCTTAGCTTTGGCTATGTTCAGCTTTGTATGAAAATCTTGGCTATGCCGTTACCGGGAAAGCTAATGTCCTTCCTCTTGTTAAAAGGAGCGCCACCTGGAGCAGTGACTTCGACGACTTTGGTCTTACCGTCGTTACCCTGTGTGATGTCCAACTCAACCGCATCGCCAACTGTTAGACTCCGGAAGCCTTCGACTAATTGGTGCAGAAGAATAATGGAAAGGCGTTCTTTTTAAGAAAGGAGCTATGATTAATAGACGATTAGGGATCATAGAGAGAGTCTTGGGCTAACGATATTTAGTGTTATCTAAAAATAAACCAAAGTCAAAAAGTTCAGATAGCATGCATGAATTCCGGAAGTCGAAAAATTTGTGCAGAGAATCAATTTGAGTGAAGGTAGAGAACCGAATTCTGAAGTCTTAAGTAACCAAAGAGAGTTAAAAAAAATAACTACTACCATTACCGAAGTCGTAATCCATAATCCATCATAATAACGTTTTTATGTAATGTAACAAGACTTACATCTCGGTGGGATCATGGCATAGTTTCCAGATTAAGAGGTCACAAAGCCATGGCTTGTAAGACGTTTTGTATCATATCAATTTTTGAACCTGTTTTAAAGAAATCGCAAAAACAGATTATTAGATACTAATGATAAAACATATTGGCAATCTAGCATAAAACGGAAAAGGAAGAACACACCGAAGATGGCCGTTTTTGTTAGTCACGGCTCACGGCTCACGGCCATAAATATAGAGAGAGTTATCAGAGCTAGGGTTCATATATTATTTTATTAATTTTCATAAATTTGAGTCAGTTTTGCTCGAAACTCATAATACGATTTAGAATCACTTTCACTATTTCCACTTTTTGCAGCTTCATGAATCCAAAAGCTTAAACACAGACATAAAAACCAAAGCTATAGGCAATGTCTTTACAGATATAGATAAGACATACCTCGAACTGCTTGTAGAGCTGTTTCTGTACTTTCATATATATAACAGAAATAGTAATACATATATAGTCAAACGACAAAAATACACAAACACACAAAACCCATGAAAATCTATAAAACATATGAATGTTTTAACACTGAACATAAAGACACAAACACACAAAACCCATTCGAATAAAATTAGATATGAATAGAGATTTAATACTCATCAGTGGAGGTGAAGACAAAGGGTTCACGTCAACATGAAAATCATCTCCGATGTCCAGCCTCAAATTCATAGTCCAGATCAAAGAAATCAGAGATATAGCACCTCCACACACCGATTCACTTTTCCTGGTCTTTATTTCCTTTTATATCAAATTACACCTTGCTTCCCATCCCTTTAACATCTGTGATGTGCTCTGTCTTACTTAAACATGTTAGCATTACAACTCGTGAACAGATTTCATGGTTCTTCAACGGATGTCTTACAACAACCCCACAAAAATTATCCATATAATTGTGGTGTCCACACGAACCTTTCATGTGCCAAGTCATCCTTAAAAGCATCCGTTTCCAAACACGTTATATGGTTTCAAACCAAAAACACAATACGTAGACGACGACCAAGTTCATCAATCCAAAAAGTCCAGCGAAGCCATGACCAAATCGAGGTAACATAATGGATCGTATCATTAACTCTTAAACCCAAAAACTCATCTTTATTCAATCGAGGTTGCAAAGCTAGTGTTTTCATAATAATCACTGACCAAATTTTTTATATTTATAGGGCTTAGCGATTAGGGTTTCAGTAGAATTATCAAAAGCTTTTTTAAAATTTTAATCAATGGTAAACTAAAGATTACAGTATCAATTATTAATTAGATATTAGCAAGAATTATTAAGGGCAATTCGAACAGGAAAAGTTCTATAATTTTTTGGTGTTGATATACAAAACGAATAAATTTAAAAAGGAAAATTTGAAGATTTAATCAAGATTTTCATTAAGGGCATCTCGGTAATTCCGCGGCTGAGAGTTAATGTGGTGGCTCCATTCGAAATTCTCACTTCGCAAATACTAGTATGATTTACTGTTCGAAAAAGGAGATAAATAAAATTTAGATGCGAATGTTTAGATTAAATATGCAGAATAATCAGTTAAACATGAGAGCTAATAGAACTAAGACCTATCTAAAACAATTAACTTACATGATTGATAAGAAGAAATAAGAACTCAGGGATTAAAAATCACGTCAACAAAAGAAGAAACATGATTTGTGATGATTTTGCTTATTGGTATTATTTATATAGAACAAAGTCGGTCAAGAAATCCAGGGTTTGTTTCCCTTTTTCTTTTACATAATTGTGACCCATAATATGGTAGTTAAGGTTTTATCTTTATTATTTTAATGAATAATCAATTTTGTGAATAATAAAAAAAAAATTAAAGATTTAATTAAGATTTTCATTAAGGGTAGTTCTGTAATTCCGTGCGGCTGAGATTGAATGTGGTGGCTCTATTCGAAATTTTGACTTCCCAAATAATATACTCCCTCCATTTCATAATAAGTGTCGTTTTGACTCTTCACTTATCAAATGTATCTAGATATTAATGAATGTATTAAGACTCAAAACACATTCAGATACATCATTAAATAGTCCAGATTCATTTTGTTAAAAAGACACTTATTATGAAACGGAGGGAGTATTAGATTCGGTTTTCCTTATTTTTTTTTGGAAATTGCAATAGGGAGAAGGAAACTTGCTCCTAAAGTCTCCTTGTCCTTTACAGATTATGACTTATATATGGTCCTTTGCAGCACAACACATAGAAACCACAATTTCGTCGACCTTGTCTTTTTCTTCTTCTTCTCTCTCTCTAAGACCAAGTCTCGGTTCAGGAAGATGTCGCAGGCGATGGTTATCTTGATTTGGTCAGCTACGAAGGAAAGCTTGGTGTGGTTTGTTCGAATTCGAGAGAAGGATATGATTTGTGGGTTATGAGCAACAGTTCTGGTAACTCTTGGGTAAATATGAAGGATGTGAAAATTCCAGGGCTAGAAGATAAATACGCAAAACCTCTATGATTGCCAAGCAGCGACGTCGTATCAGTGATTGGTTTTTGTAGGCTTGGTCTTTGCAACATGAACAACAAAAAGTCGTCATATTTGCTTCTGACTCAACATTCTTTGCCTAGCTATTTACCCAGAGATATTTGTTTCCCTTTCTACTCTAACTACGAAAGAGTTTGTCTGAATGAAGATCGGTTTGGTAAATAATTCGGTCACAATTAGAAGGTACAACGGATGTGAACATAATGGAATTTTGCAAGAACATTTCCATTCTGTTATGAGATGTTAATTGTTATATATCTTCTTCTTTGTTTACCCTTTTTCATCTCTTTGAACACATTCATCTTGGTCAAGCTTATTAAAATTGTAAAATAATATAAACACAAGAGCGGTTTAAAAAAAAACATATTTATAAGCTAAATTATTTTCTCTTGATTCAAACATTACAATAATAATTTAAAAAAACTAAAATAAAAATAATACTATCAAAAGATAGTCATAAAAAATTTATATATTCAAATCAAACCAAATGTTTTAGAAAACTTTTTTATATTATACGATAATTAGTTTCATATATTTTTGTTCTTTTCAAAGCTTTCATGATTTTTATTCTCTCGATATAATGGACAAACCCAATCCAGTTATTTCAAATATATTTTCTTAAAAGAACAATTTAAACTCTAACGATTTCATCTTCTTCGTCATTGTTCTCTCTTTCTCATTTAATTTGTTTTCTTCTTTACCTTAATTTTGTATCATCCTTATCTTCTACTTACAATTTTTCTTTTATTTTTTAAGTTTTTAAATGTAGTTTTTGTTTTTTTTTTTTTTTTTAAATCGATGATGTTGGTATATTCAAATTTAAAAAAGTGCACTTAAAAACTGAAACTAAACCTAACATCCATCAATATAAACCCTACATCATAAACTAAACCCCACATTTATAACCTATCCCCTTTCCTAAATCCTAACCCAAACCTTGAACCAACACTGGTATGAACTGTTTTTGAAAAAAATATTTGTAAGTTAAATCAATTTTTTTATAAACAATAATTTTTTAACAAACTGAATAAAAAACTATTAAATTATGGTCCTAGAAATAATATTAATATTAAAATCAAAGAAAATTTTTTAGAAAACTTCTTTATATCATACAATAACCAGTTTAATATATTTGTTGTAAAAAAAAAACCAATTTCATATATTTTTGTGTTTTTCAAAATTTTAATATTATTTATTCTCTCTGTATAGTGGACAAAACTATATTAGTTATTTCAAATTTATTTTCATGAAAAATATTTACAATAATTTAAAAGATACACAATGTTACTTTTATATATATGATTTGACTGAAAGATTAAATAATTTGGTTATTTTGTTTTTTTCGTTGAAAAGTTCAAGAATTTAAGATTTTAAAATGCATCCAAAACTAAACCGTATACCCACCCACATAAACCCTACCTTTTAAATCTTACACCCACCAATATAAATCCTACAAAAAATATTAAATAATTTAGTTATTTTGATTTTTTTTTTCTTTAAATGTTCAAGAACTAAAGATTTGTAAAATGCACACAAAACTAAACCATACACCCACCAATATAAACTTTACCTTCTAAACCCTCTCCCCATAAACGTACACCATAACCACATATTAGACAACTCTTTTCAATTTAAATTAAATGTTTTACTTTAGTTTGGGGGGAAATTTCAAAACTACACCTCTTGAGGTGTCAATTTTCAAAAATACACCTCTATGGTGCCAATTTTCAAAACTACACTTTTTTCATTGAGTAAAAGAACTCTAAACCTTAAAATAGAAATCCAAAACCCTAAAATCTAACATTGAACCCTTAAATCTAAACCCTAAATCCCAAAATCTAAACCCTAATCTAAGAATAGTGAACCCAAACATATATATTAAAATTGGGGAAAGGTGTATTTTTGAAAATTTTCACACTATAGGTGTAGTTTTGAAAATTTGCACCTTAAGAGGTGTATTTCATAAAATTTCTCTTAGTTTGGTGTAATTGTTGTTATTGTATCAAATACGCAATGTTCATGTTATTGTAAAGGGATGCTCTTGAACTATATTTTCACATAATAGCATCCTTATTAAACATAAAATCATTATTATTTAAATTTCTAAGCAAAAAAACATATAACGATTACTATTATAAACTTAAAAGACCAAATCTTAACTAACTAATCTTGTAACTAATATTATGTCAAGCATCACTGACCTATGTTTGTTTCTTCTGCCACCTATACACAAAGTAAGTGATATATTCAGTTTTTGTTTTATTATATTTAAACTATAACAATTTTATGTAAACTGATTTGTACATACCATCTTTTGAACTCATCAACCTCGGAAATCGAAGGGTTAAAGATGAATGTGGAAGGATCAATGCAGAAAATAGTATGAAGCATGAAACTCATATGATGGATCAAAATCTAAGATCACAAATCTTATTAGATAGCCTTATTAGAATTAGGGTTTCATGAGTTTTAAGTTGTATATAAAAAGAAGAGATGTACGTACCCTTTATTCGTGCTTATAATTGTTTATTGTTGGTACCATATTAGATCTTCCTGATTCTATAAGCTACCAAAGCATGTATTGACTGTTTCAAAAGTTAGAGAACTAAATTTTAGATGCGGATGTTAGATACAATTTGCAGTAAAATAATGAATAAATAATAAATCATTTGAGATAGTAGATTTAAGGTATATCATAAATAATTAACATACATGAAAAGAAGAAATAAGAACTCAAAGATTAAAACTAATACGAAGAAAAGTAAATTGTGATGATGCTTATTGCTATCTTGATATATTAGATTGTCGGTTAAACAACCAACTTGTATTATTTACCTCGCCAACTGCTTCATTGGATTCTCTTACTGCTTCTATCATATTTATGATATTATGATATTTGTTTGGTGTCTCCAATAATACTCTATAACTTTTTGTAATATCCTTCACATTTTTTTCCCACCTTGTGATATCTCATCGCCACCGCTCATTCTACACACAAATTGGACAGTCAGATTTATGACGTAAGATGAACTAAACATAGAGGTGAATGGTTAATATTGATTTAGTGGACAATACTAAAGAAAACATCATGACCATGAAAACAGTAAATTATTTGTAACTCTAGAGTTAGAACTGAATTAAAGCCTCGCCTTTGATACATGCAAGAAACTTTACTGGGCAAGTAAAGAGGAAGAACAAACAAAGGCTTCAGCAAAAACCGGCGCTTGTGGCCCGGTGGTAAAGGACCCTCAGCTGAGGTACCCGCCACATGGGTTCGAGTCCCGGCCACAACGGATTTAACATCCCTTCCGTTGGGGCGCTGGACCCCACTTGTGGGGCTAGTCGGAAATGTGGCTGCCTGGATACCAGAGTTATCAAAAAAAAAAAGGCTTCAGCAAATGCAACATAGGTTATATTGCACGTAACAACATTCATACAACCTAAAACAAAGCTACCTAATCTAAATCATAAACAAATTTACAATTGTAAATGGATTCTCTTCTTAGACATAAAACTGTCAAAATGTGTACTAATTACATTGAGAGTCAACATAATATGCTGCATATATGTTCACGTGAAACAACCAACACTTTTTTTTTGTTTTTTTAAACAAATACTAATCAATTCTAGCAAATACTAAACAAATACTAATACAATAGATTAAATAAATAAATATCAAGTAAAATAATAAATCAGTTCAGCGGAAGCAAATAAATAATTTAACAAGTCTAGCTAAACAATGCAAAATAAATAAAAGCAATAAACATCCTATCATCCCCCTCTTCAGCCTCGATTCCGCGATCACATGAACCTTTTACCTACAACACATTGGAATGGAGTTGCATAAGTATTTAATAAATACTTAGTGAAGCAATCACTCTGCCTACAGGCCATTTACGCAATTTACTAGACATTTAAATAATTATTATAAACTCCAATAATTATTAAATTCCATTTTCCAATTATTAAATGATTTTTAATAATTAAAACTCATTTCTCAATTATTAAATAATTCTCATAATTAAATAATAATTTTCCATATTTTAAAATAATTAAAATAATTATTTTAAGCCATTTAATTAATTAAAATACTCATTAATTAATTAAATACGAATTTAACCAAATAACCAGATAACCAGACTTAACCAATTAAATTAAATCAATTTAAACCAATTTTAATTTCAGTTGAATCAGACTGAACCGGTCAGTGTCGATCGACACCCGCTTGGTGTTGGTCGACACCAGCCACTTGTGTCGACCGACACCAAACTTGGTGTCGACCGACACTAGTTCCAGAGACCGATTCTTCCTTCAAATAAACAGCACGAAAATCACAGAAAACACCAAATCCACACGAATTACACCCAATCAACACTAGATAGCACATAATCAACATGAACAACTCAAGAACAATCAACCAATCAAACCAAATCTAGAAATTGCGGACCTACAGTCATGCACTCACCTCAAATCGGATTGAAAATGGAGGAAAAGAGAAGAAGCAAGGAAGAACAGCCACAAAACACCACCAGATTGATGAAGAACACCACCGAATCCGTCAAATCGCCTCCCTTCTCCTCTCTCACGAACTCAGCCTCCACAAAACGACAAAAGACCAAAACTCAGCAGCTGATCTCTTTTATTTCGTGGCCTAGGGCTTCCCTTGCCCAAAACCAGCTTACCGGAAACAAGTCACTTAAATTGAACCGAAATTGGATTTTAACCATTGGTGTCGACCGACACCAAAGAAAAATCTCAATTCTTTGGTCTACGGATGTTACAACTCTCCCCCACTAAAATGGATTCGTCCTCGAATCCCAACACAACGTCACAGAGACCACAAAAAACCCTACCTCGCAATGCCGAAACACTGGAGATCCTCACCTGATTCCGGAGACAAACGTCAAATCCTATGTCATAAGCACATTCCACGAAAATTTCACTCCTAACTGATCGCGGGATCAGGTCTTCCCTTTTCCTATCCCTGATTCTGCAAGTGCACATGTCAGAAGTAGTAAACGGGTATCGAACACGAGGACCAGATTGCACACTACAAACTATAAGATTGAGATCGAGCTAGGGCAAACAGTATTAAGTTGGTTGAGTGCAATAAAAGTAAAGGCATGCAAGTAATTAAAGAGGATGAAATCAATAGGAGAAGAGGGCTAAGCAATAGGATAGTCTTAAGATAAGAAATTCATGAAGCGAGAAATCAGTCAATTAGGGTTACTGCAATTAGGTGCCAATCTAGAACTTGAAACACTATGGTATGATCATTCCACTGTCGAGGCTCCGACCCCTTTGTTAATCTACCTAGTCGCTAAACTTTTGGTATGTCCCTAGCTGATTAAATCAAGCATTAGTTCGATTAAGTTCAATTGTTCACAACCTACAAGTAGATCAACTGTCGCAGTCTAAAAGAGGTTGCGCACCAAATACTAGTTCAGGCGAATGATACTGCACTGTCCAGGCTCAAATCAACCTAAAGGCATATGCTAATTGGCCAGATTAACAACAAGCATTAAGTATAAGCAAAGATGGAGATTATAAGTAAAACCCTAATTGTGATCGATCATCAAGCATACATGAATGCTATCCTTTAACTTCCTATCACTTAACAAGTAAACTACTCAGACATAGAGAAGGAACATGAATTCATATTTATAAGAACAGAGATTCGAATCCTCTCTAGAAAGAGTAACAAGCAAGAACAAAGTAAAAGCAAGCGAAACTTGGGCTTGAATTGGGCGGATTGGGCTTCAAAAACGGCTTTGGGTCGACCGCGGCGTTCGGACGGTCGGTCGGGACGGTCGGACGGACAATCGGGTCGTGGTCGTGATCGGAACGGTCGTGGTTACTTGTTTTCCTTTTGCTCTTAGAGCTTTCCTCATAAACATTTCTTACCTTTGGGATGGGAGAGAGAGGAGAACTGCTTTCAAGGTTAGACAAATCTTATTGAAAATCAAGCAAGGAACTGTCAACATGTATGCCAATCCCCTTGACGAGAGTTATTAAGATTGATTAAGAGTGAGGTTAACTCTAGATTGCTTGGTTACCTTAGAAATTTCGCTGAGCTAGCATGCCGATCCACTGTAGGAGCTTCTGTTAGGCTTGTGCCTTTAGCTGACATCTGCTCTAGGGTCATAGATCGTTAGCATAACACTCTCAAGTCTCAAAGCAAGTTCATAGTTTCTGGACTGGTTTTGACTCAATAAAACAGAAGTTTTGAAAAAGTGGGTAAGGAAAAACCAATTGTAAGATAGAGAAAATCATGAACAAAGGCATTAGTACCGACAATCCCCCCATACTTAACTTGCACCGTCCCGGTGAAAGAAAATCCAATTAACGGAGTTAAAGAAAGAGGTAATAAGGCGATTGTGAATGTAAAAAGAAAGATGTAACCTGATTTGGGTTATGGACTTGAAGAATGGTGTATGCAGTGGAATGATGGTGGTAGAGTATGGAATGCAAGTGTGTTGAGGTGGGATGGGTGAGATGCAGATGGAATGAGGTGAGGTGGTGTGTTGGGCGACTTGAGAGGACAGGGGCCAGCGTGGAGAGGTTCTGCTCCGCCATCAAGGTCGCGCCAACTATGATCATTCTTCCTTGTGGTATATCTTCTTCATCATTGTGTGGTTCTTAGGTTCTTGTATCCAAGACTCAAAACAAAACTAGACATTAACTAAAACTAATTTAAAAGAAAAGATAAGAAAAACACCTTTCATGGGTTGCCTCCCATGCAGCGCTTGAGTCATTAGCTTGACTGATAGGATATCTTAGTTAGAGATGGGGTAAGGGCACGGCCTGAGACAAAGTCTTTTGGTGCTTGTCTCATTGTGACCTTGAGTGTGGTCTGGTGGTTCTCTTGGGCGGCCTTGGGCAGTGATGAAGTAGGAGAGCTTGTTTGGTGAGATGAATAGTAGTGATGAAGTAGGACAGCGTATTTGGTCTTCAAGGAAGATAGTTTTGGAGGACTATCCCAAGAAGGTGGTGGTGCTTGGCGGCTTGACATCTCTTGCTCGTTCAAGAGGTCTCTTTCAGGTGGTATTTGGCGAAGTGGGATCGCCTTTATAGGAGCAAGGACTCGTGAATCCTTCTCGATATCTAACTAGGAAAACCTGAAAAAGCTCAAAAACAAAAAGGAAAAACGAAATCAAAGAAAAAAGGAAAACTAACAAAATTTAAAAAGGAAATAGAAAGAACCCTAGACTAGCTCTCTTGCAGGAGCTTGTAGGTGCGAATTGGTCCCCGGTAACGGCGCCAAAAACTTGATCGCGGGATCAGGTCTTCCCTTTTCCTATCCCTGATTCTGCAAGTGCACAGGTCAGAAGTAGTAAACGGGTATCGAACACGAGGACCAGATTGCACACTACAAACTATAAGATTGAGATCGAGCAAGGGCAAACAGTATTAAGTTGGTTGAGTGCAATAAAAGTAAAGGCATGCAAGTAATTAAAGAGGATGAAATCAATAGGAGAAGAGGGCTAAGCAATAGGATAGTCTTAAGATAAGCAATTCATGAAGCGAGAAATCAATCAATTAGGGTTACTGCAATTAGGTGCCAATCTAGAACTTGAAACACTATGGTATGATCATTCCACTGTCGAGGCTCCAACCCCATTGTTAATCTACCTAGTCGCTAAACTTTTGGTATGTCCCTAGGTGCTTAAATCAAGCATTAGTTCGATTAAGTTCAATTGTTCACAAACTTGATCGCGGGATCAGGTCTTCCCCTTTCCTATCCCTGATTCTGCAAGTGCACAGGTCAGAAGTAGTAAACGGGTATCGAACACGAGGACCAGATTGCACACTACAAACTATAAGATTGAGATCGAGCAAGGGCAAACAGTATTAAGTTGGTTGAGTGCAATAAAAGTAAAGGCATGCAAGTAATTAAAGAGGATGAAATCAATAGGAGAAGAGGGCTAAGCAATAGGATAGTCTTAAGATAAGCAATTCATGAAGCGAGAAATCAATCAATTAGGGTTACTGCAATTAGGTGCCAATCTAGAACTTGAAACACTATGGTATGATCATTCCACTGTCGAGGCTCCAACCCCATTGTTAATCTACCTAGTCGCTAAACTTTTGGTATGTCCCTAGGTGATTAAATCAAGCATTAGTTCGATTAAGTTCAATTGTTCACAACCTTGATCGCGGGATCAGGTCTTCCCCTTTCCTATCCCTGATTCTGCAAGTGCACAGGTCAGAAGTAGTAAACGGGTATCGAACACAAGGACCAGATTGCACACTACAAGTTATGAGTTTGAGAACAAGCTAGGGCAAAAGTATAAGTTGGTTGAGTGCAGAGAAAGTAAAGCATGCAAGTAATAAAAAGTGAGAATTCAATAGGAGAGAAAGGCTAAGCAATAGGATAGTCTTGAGATAAGCAATTCAAGAAGCATGAAATCAATCAATTAGGGTTACCGCACTTAGGTGCTAATCTAGAACTTGAAACACTATGGTATGATCATTCCACTGTCGAGGCTCCGACCCCTTTGTTAATCTACCTAGTCGCTAAACTTTTGGTATGTCCCTAGGTGATTAAATCAAGCATTAGTTCGATCAAGATCAATTGTTCACAACCTACAAGTAGATCAACTGTCGCAGTCTAAAAGAGATTGCCCACCAAATACTAGTTCAGGCGAATGATACAGCACTGTCGAGGCTCAAATCAACCTAAAGGCATATGCTAATTGGCCAGATTAACAACAAGCATTAAGTATAAGCAAAGATGGAGATTATAAGTAAAACCCTAATTGTGATCAATCATCAAGCATACATGAATGCTATCCTTTGACTTCCTATCACTTAACAAGTAAACTACTCAGACATAGAGAAGGAACACGAATTCATATTCATAAGAACAGAGATTCGAATCCTCTCTAGAAAGAGTAACAAGCAAGAACAAAGTAAAAGCAAGCAAAACTTTATTAAGATGTAAAATAGATTGTGGTCTCTCTCCTTCTTGAGTTACAAGGCTAAAAAGAAGTATTTATAATGCTCTAAGTATGAAAGGCGGCTAAACCTAATCTAGCTAGGTCGGCGCCGGCTTTGGGCTTGAATTGTGCGGATTGGGCTTCAAAAACGGCTTCGGGTCGACCGCGGCGTTCGGACGGTCGGTCGGGACGATCGGCCGGACAGTCGGGTCTTGGCCGAGTCGGAACGGTCGTGGCCGGATGTTTCACGGTCGGCCGTGGTCGGACGGAAAGATTTGGCCGATGGTTTCTCGGCCGGACGGGCGTAGTTCCCCGGCTCGGACGGACGTCGGCCGTGGTACGCGAGACGAGTTGCGCGGCCGCGAGGCGTTTCCCGGCTCGCGCGCTTTGGTCGTGCGCGGCGTGGCGTGAGCGTTGTGGCGTGGCCGACCGCGGGCTGTTTCCCGGGTCGTGATGCGTGATCGGCCGACGGTTTGGACTTTGGCCGAGACTTCAGTCGGACGGATAGTTTTGGCCGAGCGCGGAACATTCGTTCCTCGGCCAGCCGGACTGCGCGTTGGGCGCTGATTCTCGATAGAGCCGTCTGGAGCAGTCTTCACTCTTTTGGCTATAACTCCTTTTCTACTCATCCAAATGAAGCCATTCCAGTTGCGTTGGAAAGTTAACTCAATCAGAGCACGCAGGGAACTGGTCTTGATGAAATCCATTGAGTAGATCTTTTTCTAGCTCCATCCAAAGTTGATGCAGGGGCATTGAACTGGTTTAGAGTCCAAATCCTCTGTTTTGCTCCATAATGCACCTTTTTACCTAAAATGACTCTTTGCACTATAAATCCATAAAAACTACCTTTTAACACAAGAATCCACTAGAAAACCATTAGAAAACCATAGTAAAATAGCATAAAAAGTAGGTAAAATAGAGGTATATCAACTCCCCCAGACTTAGATCTTTGCTTGTCCCCAAGCAAAAAGAATCTAAACTAGTGAAGAGGTTTTGAAAAACGTGGGAACTCTCTTGCTTCTTTGAAAATCCTGTGAAAGGTTCCTTTCCTGTATTCCACTAAGAACATAGTCAACATAAGGTTAGCTTCACATACACCCTGCAAGTTTAGCGAACAATACCAACCCAACTAGTCTCATCCAGCAATCCAAACTCTCTATTGCTAACCTCTTGCATAAATTTAAAGCGTGAGTTCTTTATCAAGGGAAATCGATCAATTGAACTTGTTCTTACCCACTTGATCTTCTCCAAGATTGTCTTTGAAGTGCAATGAGTTCTTTTCCTCTCTCTTTCTCACATCAGAACTTTGAAAGGTCAATTTCTCCCTACTTTTCTAGGGTATCATTTTATTTTTTCTATTGACCTTTCTTTCAACCACAGGATAAGTCTTTAGCTTGTTCCTTGTTTGATAAGGTATTCCATAAGACATGAAGGTACAGACATATGCATTCCTCATGCTTACTTGTTTTCCTTGTGCTCTTTGAGCTTTTCTCATAAACATTACTTACCATTTGGGATGGGAGAGAGAGGTGAACTCTTTAGACAAATCTCATTGAAAATCAAGCAAGGAACTGTCGACATGTATGCCAATCCCCTTGACAAGAGTTATTAAGATTGATTAAGGGTGAGGTTAACTCTAGATTGCTTGGTTACCTTAGAAATTTCGCTGAGCTAGCATGCGATCCACTCTAGGAGCTTCTGTTAGGCTTGTGCCTTCAGCTGATGTTGCTCTAGGGTCATAGATTGTTAGCATAACACTATCAAATCTCAAAGCAAGTTCATTGTTCCCGGACTGGTTTTGACTCAATAAAACAGAAGTTTTGAAAAAGTGGGTTAGGAAAAACCAATTATAAGATCAAAACAACCATGAACAAACACATTAGTACCGACAATCCCCCCAGACTTAACTTGCACCGTCCCGGTGAAAGAAAATCCAATTAAGGGAGTTAAAGAAAGAGGTAATAAAGTGGTTGTGAATGTAAAAAGAAAGATGTAACCTGATTTGTGTTACTTGAAGAATGGTGAATGCAGTGGAATGATGGTAGTGATGGAATGCAAGTGTGGTGAGGTGGGATGGGTGAGATGCAGATGGAATGAGATGGGATGGTGTGTTGGGCGGCTTGAGAGGACATGGGCGAGCGTGGAGAGGTTCTGCTCGGCCATCAAGTCGCGCCAACTATGAACATTCTTCTTGTGGTATATCTTCTTTACCATTGTGTGGTTCTTAGATTCCTGTATCCAAAACTCAAAACAAAACTAGACATTAACTAAAACTAATTGAAAAGAAAAGTAAAGAAAAACACCTTTCATGGGTTGCCTCCCATGCAGCGCTTCTTTTGAGTCATTAGCTTGACTGATAGGATCTCTTAGTTGGAGATGGGGTAAGGGCACGGCCTGAGACATAGTCTTTTAGTTCTTGTCTCATTGTGACCTTGAGTGTGGTCTGGTGGCTTCTCTTGGGCGGCCTTGGGCAGTGATGAGGTAAGACAGCTTGTTTGGTGAGATGAATGGTATGGTCTTGTAAAAGACTGTCTTGTCAACATTGGCTAAGGACATTCGCCTGGTTTGGAAGGTCCATGACAGCTCCAGCAGTGGCCAAAAAGGGTCGGCCTAGTATCAATGGTGTGTCACATCCTCCTTGAATGTTTATGACATGAAAGTCCACCGGGATCTTGATATCTCCAATCTCTAGAAGAACATCAATAACAACTCCTCTTGGCTTGGCTATAGTATGGTTAGCAAGTCCAATACTAATTTGAGCAGGTTGCAAGCGTGTGATGCCAAGGAGTTTGGCGGTTTGGGTTGGCATGAGGTTTATGCAAGAGCCAGAATCGCATAGTGTTCTATCAAAGTAATGACCATTTACTTGACAGGGAATAGAGAATTGACCTGGGTCTTCAATCTTGTAGAGGGTCTTGAAGGTAGGCTGAACTTTAGCTTTCTCAAAAAGCTCTTTGATGTCCTCAGGTGTCTCTCTGCAGTTGTGGAAGAAGGTGGTGAATGGGTAGTGGCGCCAAGCTTGTTTGGAAAGACATGCTGGCTGGAAGAGTTTGGACAAACTGATTGAACTCAGCAAGCTTCTCTCTTGATATGGAATTGACATACCACTGGGTGGTGGTGATGATGGTGGTGATGGTGGTTGATTGACTGCATGAGGGGCATGGGGAAATCGTGCCTTCTGAAAAAGTTGGTGTATCTCTTCTTTGTTTTCACTAGTTGTGAAAAAGAACTCCACTAGACCATGTTTATCCCAAGCTTCTTCAAAAGTGACATAGAATGGAAGTGATTTCACCTTAGCATTGAACTCTTTAAGCTTCATGGGGCTTATCTTGTTGGGATCAATGGGATCATATGCCAAGTATCTTCTTCTTCAGTAGGTGGTGATGGTCTTTGCATTGCTTCCAATCTTGGAAGTGTAGAAGCTTGACTTCTTGGTGTTGGTGAGAAACGAGGGTCTAGGGCTAGGTGTATCCTTGCTCTGTTTTGGAGAAGCATTGATGTCGATGCTCTGCTCTTCATCTTCATCATTCAGTTGTTCCTCATACTCTCTTTCTTCTTCTTCATTGTCCTCATGGACTTGGTAGTGCTTCTTCTTGTGATGGCATTGCAATAAAAGGGAGGGTGGTTGGGTGTTGGACTCCTCTCTCTCTTGTAATTGGCATGAGATGATCCTTCAAGGGCTTGTAGGCGGTTGTAGATTGATCCAAGATGTTTGCTATTGCCATAGCTAGTATCTTCAATTCTCATGCTCTTGTTCAGCAACTCTTGATATTTGGAAGCAACATCAAGCTTAACTAGGGTAGAGATCGATCATGATCCTCTCTTAACTTCTTAATGTCTTCATCAAGCTTGATCACTTGCTTGAATAGGACTTCAGATTTGTTTCCAAGGCTCTCATGGATGAAATCGATTCTCCTCTCCATCTTCTTTGTACTCTCTTCTTGATTTCTCAAGTACTCTTGAAGCATATCTTCAATCTTGGTTTGGCGCGCAGCTTGGTAGCTCTCCCTTGGGAAAAGTGGTGTCTTATTTATGTCTGGTGATGATGGATGGTGTTGTGAATAGCTTGGGCGTGGTGGTGGGACATAAATAGGACCTTTAGCAAATCTGTAGAGGAAAGCTCCTTTGTATCCATTGATGTACTTGCATTTTACATAGTTTTAGCACATCTTTTATGCATCTTTTGCATAGTTTTAGCATCCATTTGCATCTTATCTTGTTCCTTTTCTCTTCTTATGCATTCATGTTAGTTTTAGGTTGCATTTGCATACATATGCATGTTTGGTCCTTTGAAATAGGTCTTTTGGAGCATTCTGGAGCATATGGGACATGAGGAGCATGGAGGGACTTGGCACATGGACGCAGCTCAACTGGATACGCAAAGGAAGAAGGGAGAAGCCATCTTGAAGACCAGCTCGACCGTCTACTCGACCAACCGGTCGAGTTCCTCAACTCTTCTTATGCATTCATGTTAGTTTTAGGTTGCATTTGCATACATATGCATGTTTGGTCCTTTGAAATAGGTCTTTTGGAGCATTCTGGAGCATATGGGACATGAGGAGCATGGAGGGACTTGGCACATGGACGCAGCTCAACTGGATACGCAAAGGAAGAAGGGAGAAGCCATCTTGAAGACCAGCTCGACCGTCTACTCGACCAACCGGTCGAGTCCTCAACTCGACCGGCCAAGCTTCAACTCGATCGAGCTGAGAAGTCAACAGTCAAACCCGAAAAATGTTGCTTCCCCCTTGACTTTCCTTTGACCCTAAACCTAATCCTCTTTGTATTTAAAGGCTCTAAGCCACGAAAAAACCACCAAGCTTTAGATTATTATTGTTTTAGTTTCTTTTTAATTTATTGTCTTTTACTTTATAGAGCTCTAATCCCATCTTTGTGTTCTTGAAGCTCTTGCTTCTTGAATCCTAGATCCTGGATAATCTCTTTTGTATTTGCACTTGCTTATTTCAATAAAAGTTGTTTAATTTCATCTCCTCTTTCTTATGATGTCTCTTTTATTGCATTTGCTTGTGTTTACATTCATGTGTAGTGAGTAGTTACCCATTAGGGTTTGAGATGGGATAGATTAGAGGTTTCATATGCTTAATCCTTCTAGCTTATGGTCTTAATCTAGATTCTCTCTCTTTTGGATAGATCTTAAGGCTACATGACCACTACCCCTGGCTTGTAAGTCCTTAGGCGATCCCCACACGAAAGTGATGGCAATTCGCTGGAAAAGATCCACTAAGAGCTCCAATATCTCTTGCTCTAGAAATAGAGGTCTAAGGGGTTGGATGGATTAGTTTGGGCAATGATCCTATAGCCTCCAAGGTTTGATTCTCACTGGCTAACCCCCTGTTTCTGAGATCATTCCTTGGTTGATAGCCTTCACCTTGGGAAAGGGTTGGCTAGGCATTGAGAAGCCCAATATCAAGAGAAGCCTTGATACAAGGAGTTTTAAGAGCTGGATGATTAAGTGTAGATTCCTTTGATTGCAAAACCCTGTCTTGAACCCTAATTCTCTCTCTAGTTTGTTAAAGTCGCTGCCTTTACTGCTTTTCTCGCTAACTCGACCCTCAACTCGATCGAGCTGGTACTCTGTTCCTACTCGACTCGAGCTCTTGGTCGAGCTGCTTATTTACTGCTTTGTTTACTTTCTGCATTTCATTTCTGCTTCAATTAGGTTGCTAGTGTTACCAAATCTATTACTGCTTGCTTGACTTCCTGGTTGTTTCATATTCTCATAGAGTGACAAGTTTTCCCATTTTGGATTGATAACCCTTTGTACTATAACAACTATCATGGTTAAAGGGAATTGTTGACTGTGTTTGTGTTTGCATTTACCACCTCATCATATACCACTGATTGCATTCCACACATCTCATTCATATCTTTTCACATCCACACACAAATCCTATCATTATCCATTCCAAGTCTTGAAAGCATGTTGGGCGTTGAACTTAGCCCATTCTTTGGCTTGTCCAGCTAGAGATAGTTGGAAAAGTTGTATCTTCTTGGGGTTATCTCCAAGTCCATAGTCGTGGCAAAGCTGCTCAAAGTTGTATAGATGCTCCTTTGCACACTCTGAAGTAGAATTGTAGAAAGGATTCCTCTCCACATGCTTGATTAGCTCTTCATTCAAAACTTCAGGATGGGGTGGTATGCCTCCCCATTCTTCTTCTCACGCTCTCTCTCCAGCTGATGAGAGTAGTGATTGTACTTGGATTTGAAAGGTGGCAGCCTTGCAAATCTCTTCAAGAAAGCTTCTCTAAAATCGATCCATGACTCGATTGTAGAGAGTGGTTCATGCTGCGCCCAATCTAGTGCTGGTCCAGCTAGTGATGTGCTGAATAGCATCATCTTCTTCTCAAAGTCAAAAACTCCATAGGAATCACAAAGATTATCAAAGTGATCTATGTGCTCCAGCGCATACTCTGAAAACAGATCATGGAATTGATCTCTCTTCACGAACTCGATCAGCTCAGGGTCAATCTCCTCTTCTGGTGTGGCTAGAAGGTGTTCTTCTCTGTAAGATGCGGCTTGGCTAGACGTCTCCAGGTCGGCTGCTTCAAGGTAGGGAAGAAGTTTCTTCTTGGTCTTCAAGGAGGATAGTTTTGGAGGACTATCCCAAGAAGGTGGTGGTGCTTGAGGGCTTGACATCTCTTGTTCGTCCAAGAGGTTCTTTGAGGTGGTATTGGCGAAGTGGAATCGCCTTTATAGGGAAGGACTTGTGAATCCTTCTCCATATCTAACTAGGAAAACCTGAAAAAGATCAAAAACAAAAAGGAAAAACAAATCAAAGAAAAAGGAAAAATAACAAAACAAAAAGGAAAAGAAAACCCTAGACTAGCTCTCTTGCAAGAACTTGTAGGTGCGAATTGGTCCCCGGCAACGGCGCCAAAAACTTGATCGCGGGATCAGGTCTTCCCCTTTCCTATCCCTGATTCTGCAAGTGCACAGGTCAGAAGTAGTAAACGGGTATCGAACACGAGGACCAGATTGCACACTACAAGCTATGAGTTGAGATCGAGCTAGGGCAAAAGTATAAGTTGGTTGAGTGCAGAGAAAGTAAAGCATGCAAGTAATAAAAAGTGAGATCAATAGGAGAGAAAGGCTAAGCAATAGGATAGTCTTAAGATAAGCAATTCATGAAGCATGAAATCAATCAATTAGGGTTACTGCAATTAGGTGCCAATCTAGAACTTGAAACACTATGGTATGATCATTCCACTGTCGAGGCTCCGACCCCTTTGTTAATCTACCTAGTCGCTAAACTTTTGGTATGTCCCTAGGTGATTAAATCAAGCATTAGTTCGATTAAGTTCAATTGTTCACAACCTACAAGTAAATCAACTTTCGCAGTCTAAAAGAGGTTGCCCACCAAATACTAGTTCAGGCGAATGATACAGCACTGTCGAGGCTCAAATCAACCTAAAGGCATATGCTAATTGGCCAGATTAACAACAAGCATTAAGTATAAGCAAAGATGGAGATTATAAGTAAAACCCTAATTGTGATCAATCATCAAGCATACATGAATGCTATCCTTTGACTTCCTATCACTTAACAAGTAAACTACTCAGACATAGAGAAGGAACACGAATTCATATTCATAAGAACAGAGATTCGAATCCTCTCTAGAAAGAGTAACAAGCAAGAACAAAGTAAAAGCAAGCAAAACTTTATTAAAGATGTAAAATAGATTGTGGTCTCTCTCCTTCTTGAGTTACAAGGCTAAAAAGAAGTATTTATAATGCACTAAGTATGAAAGCGGCTAGACCTAATCTAGCTAGGTCGGCGCCGGCTTTGGGCTTGAATTGTGCGGATTGGGCTTCAAAAACGGCTTCGGGTCGACCGCGGCGTTCGGACGGTCGGTCGGGACGATCGGCCGGACAGTCGGGTCGTGGGCCGATCGGAACGGTCGTGGCCGGATGATTTCACGGTCGGCCGTGGTCGGACGGTGAAGGATTGGTCGATGTTTCTCGGCCGGACGCGGGCGTAGCTTCCCGGCTCGGACGGACCATCGGCCGTGGTACGCGAGTAGGTCGCGCGGCCGCGAGGCGTTGCTTCCCGGCTCGCGCGGCATGGTCGTGCGCGGTGTGAGTGGTTGTGGCTTGGCCGACCGCGGGACATTGTTTCCCGGGTCGTGATGCGTGATCGGCCGGTGTTGAACTTTGGCCGAGACTTCAGACGGACGGATGATTTTGGCCGAGCGGAACATTCGTTCCTCGGCCGGCCGCTCTGCGGCTTGGCGCGATTCTCGATAGAGCCGCTGGACAGTCTTCACTCTTTTGGCTATAACTCCTTTTCTACTCATCCAAATGAGGCCGTTCCAGTTGCGTTGGAAAGTTAACTCAATCAGAGCACGCAGGGAACTGGTCTTGATGAAATCCATTGAGTAGATCTTTTTTAGCTCCATCCAAAGTTGATGCAGTGGCATTGAACTGGTTTGAAGTCCAAATCCTCTGTTTTGCTCCATAATGCACCTTTTTACCTAAAATGACTCTTTGCAGTATAAATCCATAAAAACTACCTTTTAACACAAGAATCCACTAGAAAACCATAGTAAAATAGCATAAAAAGTATGTAAAATAGAGGTATATCAACTCCCCCAGACTTAGATCTTTGCTTGTCCCCAAGCAAACAAAATCTAAACTAGTGAAGAGGTTTTGAAAAACGTGGGAACTCCCTTGCTTCTTTGAAAATCCTGTGAAAGGTTCCTTTCCTGTATTCCACTAAGAACATAGTCAACATAAGGTTAGCTTCACATACACCCTGCAAGTTTAGCGAACAATACCAACTCAACTAATCTCATCCAGCAATCCAAACTCTCTATTGCTAACCTCTTGCATAAATTTAAAGCGTGAGTTCTTTATCCATAAAAACTACCTTTTAACACAAGAATCCACTAGAAAACCATTAGAAAACCATAGTAAAATTGCATAAAAAGTATGTAAAATAGAGGTATATTACTAACTCATCATCCAAACACACCAAACAACTTGTACTGAGGCCCACTTGCACCCAGACAAGTCCACACCGGTCCGCACTGAGGCCCACTTGCACCCAGACGAACCCGAAACGTCCATACTGAGGCCCACTTGCACCCAGATGAACTAAACTGCTTATACTGAGGCCTACTTGCACCCAATAAGCTACACTCAACTGAGGCCTACTTGCACCCAGAGAGTCTGCCAGAGAACGAAGTCTCCAAAAACATGATGAGTTATTCAGGATCGCAATCCTTAGAGTAAAAATTCCGGAAAATGTCTATAACCATAAGATTAGAACCAAAAACTGGTCAAACATGTGTAACATCCGAATACCATTTCACAACACAAGGCAAAATGAGGAAAAACTGCATCTCATTAAAACTCCAAAATGTATATCGTTACAACGAAAACGAAAATACAATAACACCAAAGCCAAAAATAACAACTGAGGCTACAAAGATGAAATAAGCTCACTCCTCGACCTGCTTGTCGAACCACTTCCTGAACTTCAACTTCATCTTTGCCTCTGGCTCCCAAGTCTCCTCTGTAGAACCACTGCAATCCCACAAAATCCTCAGTAAGGGAATCCTCTTGTTCCTCAGAACCTTTTCCCTCCTCTCTAAAATCCTCACAGGCACTGCCGGCACTGTCAAATCTGGCTGAAGATCCTCTGGAATCCTAGCCACTAACTCCTCTGTAGGGTGAAGACACTTCCTCAGCATCGACACATGAAAAACCTTGTGAAAGGCTTTCATAATCTCAGGCAACTCCAGCCTGTAAGCCAATGGCCCAACTCGCTCCACTACTGGAAACGGACCCATAAATCGCGGACTCAGCTTGTTCTCTGCTATGGATCTGTTAGGACCCCTCAACATAGCCATCTTGAGATAAACTCTATCTCCAACCTGAAACTCAAGCTCTCGTCTGCGTCTATCTGCATAACTCTTCTGCCTATCCTGAGCCTCCTTCATGTTCAGCCTCACAACACGACCTTCTCTGTCGTCTCCTGAACATAAGTAGCTCCATACATGCTGCGCTCCCCCACTTGGGTCCAGCATAGGGGTGTCCTACATGGCCTCCCATACAAAGCCTCAAATGGAGCCATGCCAATACTCGCCTGAAAGCTGTTGTTGTATGCAAACTCAACTAAGCTCAGGTGATCTGCCCAATGGCCACCCCAATCCAACACACACATCCTCAGCAAATCCTCCAAAGTCTGAATAGTCCTCTCTGACTGACCATCTGTCTGCGGATGATAAGCTGTACTCAGATGCACCTTAGTGCCCATCTCTGCCTGAAACGCCCTCCAAAACTCTGAAGTGAATCTGGGATCACGGTCTGACACAATACTAGCTGGCACTCCATGCAGCCTCACAATCTCTCGCACAAACTTCCTAGCCAAGACAGCAGCTCCATCTGTCTTCTTGATGGCCAAGAAATGTGCAGACTTAGTCAACCGATCCACAATCACCCAGATAGCATCGAAAGTCCTCGAAACAGGTAGTCCAACCACGAAATCCATCGTAATCCTGTCCCACTTCCACTCTGGAATGGGTAAACTCTGCAAAAGACCACCCGGAACCTGATGCTCTGCCTTCACCAAGGCACAAGTGTTGCACTTCGCAACCCAATCTGCTACATCCCTCTTCATCCCGACCCAATGATAGTACCTCTTGAGGTCATGGTACATCTTGGTCGCTCCCGGATGAATGGAAAACTTGCTCGCGTGAGCCTCTCCCAAAATCTGATGTCTCAACTCCACATCCTTAGGCACACAAACTCGCCCACGAACCAAGATAGTCCCATTCGCAGAGACCTCATACTCAGAACCAGTCACTCTCGTCGCATCTAGCAAACTCTGATCACTCTGCTGAGCAACTCTGATCCTGCTAAGTAGATCCGCCTGATCCACTGCCTCTAAACCCAAAGGCTCCTGCGAAATGGCACACAAACGCAAGGTACTGATCTCGCCAACTAGAGACTCCACATCTCGCTCAACTGCGGAATCATACCTCCGTCTACTCAACGCGTCCGCCACTAGGTTAGCCTTGCCCGGATGGTAGTTAATGCTCACCTGATAGTCCGCCAAGAACTCAACCCAGCGCGTCTGTCTCGCGTTCATCATCGGCTGAGTGAAGATATGCTGCAAACTCTTGTGATCCGTGAAGACCTGTACTGTCTCACCTAGCAAGTAAGACCTCCAAATCTTCAACGCGAAGATCACTGCTCCCAACTCTAAGTCATGTGTAGGACGGTTACGCTCACTGCCCTGCCACTGTCTCGAAGCATATGCTATCACTCTGCCCTCCTGCATCAGCACACAACCAAGACCAATGCCTGAAGCATCTGTATACACCATGTAAGGCTTCCCTGGCTCGGGTAACGCCAACACTGGTGTAGTAGTCAACATCTCCTTGAGCTGACTAAAGCTCTCCTCACACTCAGCTGACCAAATAAAAGGGACATCCTTCCCGGTCAACTTCGTCATCGGCTGCGCCATGGTAGCAAACCCCTTGACGAACCTCCTGTAGTATCCTGCCAAACCCAGAAAACTCCTGATCTCGGTGGCACTACTAGGTCTAGGCCAATCTCTGATAGCCTCAATCTTAGCCGGATCCACAGAAACTCCCTCTGCAGAAACAATGTGGCCAAGAAATCCCATCTCTCGCTGCCAGAAACTGCACTTGCTCAACTTAGCAAAAAGCTTCTGCTCCCGAAGCTTCTCCAGAACCAACCTCAAGTGAGTCGCATGCTCCTCCTGACTCCTCGAGTATACCAGAATATCGTCAATGAAAATGATGACAAACACGTCCAAATACTCCCTGAACACGTCGTTCATCAATCTCATGAAGGCTGCCGGCGCGTTAGTCAAACCGAAAGGCATAACCACAAACTCAAAATGCCCATAACGCGTCCTGAAAGCAGTCTTCCTGACATCTGCCTCATCTATCGGGATCTGATGATACCCGATGCCAAGTCAATCTTGGAGAACCAAGTAGCACCCCTCAACTGATCCAACAACTCATCAATCCTCGGGAGTGGGTACCTGTTCTTCACAGTGACTCGGTTAAGACCTCTGTAATCGATACAAAGTCTGAAACTGCCATCCTTCTTCTTCACAAACAACACCGGTGCTCCCCACGGTGAAACACTCGGTCGAATGAACCCCTTAGACAAAAGGTCCTCTATCTGCTTCTTCAGCTCTGCCAACTCAGCTGGCGCCATCCTGTAAGGCGTCTTCGATATCGGTGCTGTTGATTATAGGATTTTACGGTGGATGTGATAAGATATGAGGTGGAATGCAAACAGGGTGAATAAAGATGAAATGGTATGGTGCAATCACAATCAATCAATTCCTCTTAACCATCATAGTCATGTAGTATAAGAGGTTATCAATCCAAAATGGGAAACTTGTCACTCTATGAGAATATGAAACAACCAGGAAGTCAAGCAAGCAGTAAAGATTTGGGGTAACACTAACAACCTAAATGAAAGAAATGCAATGCAAAAGTAAATAAAGCAGTAGAGCAACAGCTCGACCAAGGACTCGAGTCGAGTTGGAACAGAGTACCGAGCTCGATCGAGTTTAGGGTCGAGTTGAAGTAAAAAGCAATAAAGGCAGCGACTTTAACAAGCTAAAGAAGAATTAGGGTCTAAGACAGGGTTTTGCAATCAGAGGAAGCTATACTTAATCAATCTTGCTCTTAAAACTTGTATCAAGGCTTCTCTTGATATTGAGCTTCTCAATGCCTAGCTAACCCTTTCCCAAGGTGAAAGCTATCAACCAAGGAATGATCTCAGAAACAGGGGGTTAGCCAGTGAGAATCAAGCCTTGGAGGCCATAGGATCATTGCTCAAACTAATCCATCCAACCCCTTAGACCTCCATTTCTAGAGCAAGAGATATTGGAGCTCTTAGTGGACTTTTCCAGCGATTTCCATCACTTCCATGTGGAGAATCGCCTAAGGACATACAAGCCAGGGGTAGTGGTCATGTAGCCTTAAGATTATCCAAAAGAGAGAGAATCTAGATTAAGACCATAAGCAAGAAGGATTAAGCATATGAAACCTCTAATCTATCCCATCTCAAACCCTAATGGGTAACTACTCACTACACATGAATGTAAACACAAGCAAATGCAATAAAAGAGACATCATAAGAAAGAGGAGATGAAATAAACAACTTTTATTGAAATAAGCAAGTGCAAATACAAAGAGATTATCCAGGATCTAGGATTCAAGAAGCAAGAGCTTCAAGAACACAAAGATGGGATTAGAGCTCTAAAAGTAAAAGACAATAAATTAAAAGAAACTAAAACAAAAAGTAATCTAAAGCTTGGTGGTTTTTTCGTGGCTTTTAGCCTTTAAATACAAGAGGATTAGGTTTAGGGTCAAAGGAAAGTCAAGGGGGAAGCAACATTTTTCGGGTTTGACTGTTGACTTCTCAGCTCGATCGAGTTGAAGCTTGGCCGGTCGAGTTGAGGAACTCGACCGGTTGGTCGAGTAGATGGTCGAGCTGGTCTTCAAGATGGCTTCTCCTTCTTCCTTTGCGTATCCAGTTGAGCTGCGTCCATGTGCCAAGTCCCTCCATGCTCCTCACGTCCCATATGCTCCAGAATGCTCCAAAAGACCTATTTCAAAGGACCAAACATGCATATGTATGCAAATGCAACCTAAAACTACTATGAATGCATAAGAAGAGAAAAGGAACAAGATATGATGCTAATGGATGCTAAAACTATGCAAAAGATGCATAAAAGATGTACTAAAACTATGTAAAATGCAAGTACATCAACACCCCCAAACTTGAACTTTGCTTGCCCTCAAGCAAACAAATAGAACAAGAAAGAGATGAGGTTTGAAAACAGCTGATTCAACACTTAAAAACATGTCCTCAAAAGCGATTTGCTAAATGTCCAACTTAGAGATTCTAGAATGCAACAAGGTGAGAGATATTCATTAAGATTTAACCATGCTTATCAACATCAATCCCACTTCACAGTCACTCAAACAATGCATTCAAATCAGCAAATCCCTTTAACATTCATTAAGCAAAAACAGTGAACCAAAAACATGCAAGATCAATCAACTCATTTGGTTTCAAGGGTTTATGGGTTAAGAGACAAAGAGGGTCTCTTTTGTATGGTGGTTTAGTAACAGGGATCTCTCAAGAAAGTGGCTTTGCTTTGGCAGAAGGCTAAGTGTTAGAACCAAAGATGATGCAAGAACAGCAGCTCGAGCCGCTAATCCTAACTCGATCGAGTTCAACACTTAGAGCTTTTTAGAACAAAATCCTAACTACCCTTTTTGGCATTTCGCCTTTGAAACTGAGGAGCTTTGCTCACTTTTCTTTTAAGAACTTCCTAGGGAGAGGCTTCTTGAGGTAACATCTAGCGGTTTGGGATTTTCTAAACACTTAGGGAACTTTTCTTTCTTTTTGACACTTGAGGCTTTGCCTTCTTTTCATTCTACTTAGAACCCTTTTTACTTCCTTTTTTAACTTCCCAAACCTTTACTAGACCCTTTTTAACACTGCCAACTCCCTGGACTTAACTAAACTCTTTTTCCTTTGGATTTTCCCAACTTTTACCACTTTTCTGGTTTTTACACCCAACTCGATCGAGCTCGAGTTGGCACCCCCAAACTTAGCCTGAAAACAATCCCAAGAGAACTAGACAACTAGAACTACTGCCCCTGCCGGTTTAAACACAACACCTTATGCTAAGCAAAGCCAAGAAAGGTTCTCACATTCGCACAAGAGATAATGGGGTTTGAAATGAAAAGGCTTAGGTTTAAGGTGTGGTAACTGTCTCAAAGATAGAGATCAGCTATCTGGACAAGCAAAGGGATATGAAAATGGTAAAGAATGTCCAGATATGTATGTGGTAGCCATGAGTTGAAATCAAATGCAAGCATTGGTAATTAAAGATCAAGTTATGGTTCAAATAGATAGGGAAATGCATCAAATCACAGCAATGGTTGAATGAGATGTGCATGCAGTGATATGATCAAGATAAACATGGTTCTTGCTGCTCAATCAATCTCACCCTAATGCACAAAAGAATCTAAAAACAGGGCACTCAAGAAATCGCAAAAGATGACAAGTTTTCAAAGTCAAATCAACAATGCAAGTGAAAATGCAATCCTAAACAAGTCTAACAAATATGAATGCAAAAAGATGAAAATATTTTTGGATTTTTTGAAAATTTTATGATTTTTTTGGTTTTTCTATGCAAAAGATAAATGAAAAACTAAGAACAAAGAAAACAAGGTTAAATCATCTCTTGAACCCTCCCCCAAACTTAAATCACACAGTCCCTTGTGTGAGAAAAATTTAGTGAAAGATTCAAGAGGGCAAAACCAAGAAAAAAACAAAGAAAGAAAATATGAAATGGTATATACAAGGGTTGGTGTTTGGATACCTCAGTGCCCCCCAAAGAACTGGGAGGCAGGTCGTGGTCTGGAGATGGTAGACGGCCATCAGGAGCACTCCACTCGACTGGGTTGCCTCACTCGATCGAGCTTGCGGCTCCTCTTCTTCCTCCTTCATTGAAGTGTGTGTGGCTTCCTTGGCCTTGGTGGAGCATGGCTAGCTCGACTGTCCATAGGGGTTCCATCTCTGAGGGTCTCCTGGTAAGGCGTTGGATCGTACTCAAATCCGGATCTCAAACTGGGGCTCCTCCAGGTCAACTCGACCGTCAGCTCGATCGAGTTGAGTTTCCTCTGTTTGGACTCGATCGAGTCCGGTGGTCGAGCTGGAGCGTCTGGCCTTGGAACTCTTCCTCCTTCTCTGCGTGTTGTCTTCTCCTTCCCTTGGCTCGAAAGAAGAGGCTCTGTGAGGCTCTTGGGCAGGGAGCCTCCTTGGAGTGGTGAGGAGTGATCTACTCCTAGGGAATGTGCCATGGGGCCTTCTTCTTCTTGCTTGAAGAACCAGAAACCTTCTTCTCCAAACTTTTGATCTTGCTCACCATCTTGTCCATGGACTTTTGCATCTTTCATGGCTTTCCCTTGCCATTTGTTGAACTTTTGGAGAAGTCCAATCCTCTTGTGGGCAGCCACAACAGAGGGGTTCATCCTTGGAGCCTCATACTCCTCAAAGTAATAGCACTCAGGCTCACCCAAATCCGCACTCTCCTGGACTGATCCTCAGCTTGACTCAGCTCGATCCTCAGCTCGATCGAGCTCAGGCTCCTCTTCTCGCAAATCATCTTCATGCCCAACTAAGTGTACACAGGGGGTCTGAAGTCAATGTTCTCACCCCTGACTACTGTGGTGAGCTCTGGGTTGGGCAGGAGAAGCTTGGAGGGCCAGCCAATGGATGTGTGAACTTGAATTGGAACCTCCCATCCAACTCCTTGTGCTCAATGAGAAGGTTGGTCTTGCAAAACTTGATGTCCATCCAACCTGGTTCAGTGGCTCTCTTATCAGTTGGGTTCACTCCAGCAGCACACAAGATAGGTGTGATGAGCCCTCCAACACTTAGCGCCTCCCTCGTTGATGTCTAGTGTTGTAGGCTGTGGTCTTGTAGGTGAGGAGATGGTCAAGGAAAGGCATCAGTTCCCTGTGTTGATCTATCTCCCCTGATCCTCTTGCCATCGCTTGTGCGTGAGAGAATGGGCTTGATTCCCATGTCAAGAAACTTGAGTTCCCCCTCGTTGATGGTCCCGGTTGCCTTCCTTGCAAAGAAGGTGTTGGCAAGTGCCTTGTGCACATATCTCAACACTGGGCTCCTGATCTGAGCAGCCTTGGACCTTGAGGAAGAGTACACTCCATCAGCGATTGTAGCCCAAACCCTTTGGAGTTCCTTCTCCTTGAAGTTCCACTTGGTACCTTCTCCATAGTTGAACCCAAACAAGATCTCCAACTGCCTAAAGGTCACCATTCTCTTCTCTCCCTTAGCCAAGAACGTGATCCATCCCAATCCTTGGTCCAAATCAGCTCTATCTTCCTCTCATACATGTGGTACCTCATTGAAGCTAAGAACTCGCAAGTGAGCTCCTTGTAGGATTCCATGTGATAAGAGAAGAGCTTGGCCAAGTGCATGTTCTTGAGACTAGCTCCACATCTTCAAAGATTCCAAGGGCCTTCATTGTGTCAACATGTGGGTACTTGGTATCCATGAAAGTCCATGGAGAAGAGAGCATTGTAGTGCTCTTGGTACATGGGGAGCTTCATCCTCTTCCTCTGTGGCTCAACCTCCTCCATGGTCATCTTTGCTCTCATGCTCACTTCCCTCAATCTCTTGATTGACCTCTTCTCCTTCCTCTTCACTCTCAGTCTCATCACTTCCTTCTTCACTTGGAGAGCCATTTCCCTCCTCTTGAACAAGGTTCACTCCAATCTCAAACTCCCCTTGCTCACTCTCACTACTAATGGGGTCATTCCTCTTCTTGGTCTCCTTTCCTCCCTCAACCTCTCGCTCTCAGACTCTCCTCAGAGAGACACCCTCTCTGCATCAGACTCTTCCATCTCTGGTTCCTCTCTCTTGATCTCAAATCCTTCATCTTGCCCTTTCTCTCATTCTTCTTGCTTCTCTCCCTTCTTTCTGAAGCGCGCTTCCCTCACTGTCAACTCTTGAACTTGTTCTTCACTAAAGTACCTGAAATGCATCAAAGATTACAAAGAATTAGAGTTGCAATGATCGGTTTGGTCAACTCGACACTCAGCTCGATCGAGTCAAAAAACTCGAGTGACAAACTCGATCGAGCTAGGTGAAAACAGAGTATAACCGAACCTAATTCAAGTATTAAGAGCTGGAAAGGATGCTAATCAATCAAATTGAACCAAGAACAACTAGTAAATGGAACAATGAGCAATTCTAGTGAAGCACTAAGCATCTTAACCAATACCAAACTCAAATTCAATTTTTAAGCACATGCAACAAGTTTAATGGCAAAACAGAGGTGAGGTGAGGCAAATTCGAAAAACTATGAGCAGGAGAAATATGAAAGCAATTACTCAAGAACAAGTCCACAAGGGACACATGCAATCAAAAATCAAAGAGAAACAAGCAATAGGAAATCGAGATGGAAGGAATCAAGGGTTTAGGGTTCATACCTTGCTTGAATGATGAATTGAAGAGCAGTAAACTAAAACCCAAAGCAAAACAATGAAGAACAAGAGGAAATCGCAAAAACTTAAGAGAGAGATTGAAATCGATTTTTGTGGTGAGAGAGAGAGAGATGAGTTTCAGAAATTTTAAGTGTGGGAGAGTGGAGAAGTGGGTTCGATCGAGTTATGGGGAAGAGGGAGTGTTTGAGATGTGTGGTTGAGATTAAAAGATGAAAAAAGAGGGGAACAAAAGCTAGGGATTTTTCTGATCAATTAGGGTGGGGGACCAAAATCAGCTTGTGGGACCCACCCCTTGACCAAGAAAACGGTTAGAAATTTGAAATTCAAAAACTTACCTCGGTCGAGTTGTGGAACTCGATCGAGTTGCCCTTGTTTCTAGCTCGATCGAGCTGTCGGTCGAGCTGGCTCCTTTGTCACCTAAACTTAACTTATTGAAAGGTTAAACATAAAAGAGATAGAAATTGCATAAATAGAATATGTACAAGGATAAACATGGGACTTCCTCCCAAGTGAGCTTGTTTAAGGTCCCATAGCTTGACCTTTACCTTCTTAGGCATTGGTTGAGCTAGTCCCACCATCAAGGGTGATAGTGAGGACTTGAGACAGAAGCTCCTTTAGCTTGGTTGGGTCCCTGGATTGTTCTGAAGTCACCAAGGCCTTGGCTCTAGAGAATGGCCTTGATCTCCCCTTGTACCTTATCTTGTACTCAATCTTCCCATTTTCAAACTTGGTGGGGAACAAAGTCATTGTGAGCTGAGATGGCTTGACTGAAGGGGCCTGAGCTGGTGGATCTTTCTTTTATCCCCTGGTCTTGCCTTAGAGGCTACATCCTCCCCTTCTTTTAGAGCCCTTCCTAGTGGCTCATCAAACAAAGCTTGAAGGCTTTCTTCATCAAGCACACAAGGGGCTTGAACAAGTCGATCAGCTCGTGGTCTATCAGATCGTGGTTTCTCAACTCTAGCCCTCTCAAGACGTGGCTTCTCAATCCTTGGTCCTCTCTCAACCTTATCCTTCCCAACTCTTGGTTCTTTGTCAACCTTTCCTTCACAACTTTGTAGCTTCATGACTCTTAGAACTGAGAGTGGTACTGTCAATTGTGGCACAAAAGTCTGAACCTCTAGGCTGCAAGCGATATGACACCAAACTATTCACCTTGTGAAGGATCACTTCTTGCTTGTGAAAGTCTATTGAAGCGCCAACTGTACTAAGGAATGGGGTTCCCAATAACAGAGGTAGATCCTTCTCTTCTTCCATCTCCATCACAGTAAGATCAGTTTGGATGATGCATTCTCCAATTTTCAAGTGATAGTTCTTGAACACTCCAAGAGGAGACTTAGAAGTTGCATCTCCAAACATGATTGAAGTAGTAGGGCGCTGCAAGGCTCCAGCAATGCCTAGCTTCTCTGCCATGGAGAGAGAGATCAGATTGATGCTTGCTCCAGAATCCACTAAGGCATTGTCAAGCTCAAGATGCCCAAGTGTGCAAGGGAGAGTGAATTTCCCTTGATCCTTGACCTTTGGTAGGAAGGTGGGTGAAGTAAGCAGGTTGAACTGATGAGTAGACTCCTTCAGGACCTCTGAAACTTTATCACTGTTGGCTAGAACATCCTTGACCATTTGCATTTGATCAAATGCCTCACTCATGCTATCCATAGGAGGCAACTCAATTCCAATCCCACTAAGATCTCTTCTGAACTTGTGAATTACTCCCTCCGTTTCAAATTAGTTGTCGTTTTGACAAAATGTATCTGTAAATATTTGGACGTATCTGGACATATTTTGCATTGCAGATACGTCAAAATATTTGCAGATACATTTTGCCAAAACGACAACTAATTTGAAACGGAGGGAGTACTTCCTTGTGCCCTTGACTAAGTAGGCGAGATGAGGAAGTGGCAACCGGTTGGTAGGGATCAAGCAGAATTGGTTTTGGGACAGAAGATGTCGGACTCGATCGAGGTAGAGTTCGACTCGATCGAGCTGCTGATCGAGCTTGTTGTGCAAGCTCAACTGGTGAAGTGTGAAGGGCCACAGTAGGTGCCTGCACTTCTGGTTGATCAATCTGGACTCCAGGAGCCTCAGCAGCAACAATCTCATCATCATTCAGCAGTAAACAAAAATCTTCAATAACCCTCTCTTGATCCTCTTCTTCAACAAGTCCTTCTTGAATGAAGATGACCTTGCACTGTTCCTTGGGGTTCTGAATAGCTTTACCAGGTAGTTGTCCTTGCTTTGTAGCAGCAGCAACAGAAGAAGCATGATTCTCCAGAGAGTAAACCCTTGTGTTGAGATTCTCGATCTTGGAGTGTATTTCAGCTAGCTTCTTGCTTGTGTCCATTACCCCATCAGCTTGCCCTTGAAGAATTTGTTTAAGCATTGCCTTGAGCTCATTCTCTTGCGAAGGTGCAGGCTGGGGAGGTTGGTGGGGAAAGCCTGGTGGTATATTCATTTGTTGTCCAGGGAAAGTTCCTTGTGGTCCTTGGTAATTGTTCTTCTTGACCATACCCATGTTGTGGTCCTTGACTCAATCGAGCTGCTTGTTGTTGAGGATATACTTGGTCCTGAGGGTTAGCAACATCAATGTTGCGGTATGACATGGCGGGGTTGGACTTGTAATTATAGTATCCTTTGTTGTAGCCTCCTTGTCCATTGCTCATGTAACACACCTCAGCAAATTGTGTATCCTCCCCTTCTTGGACTGGTTCCATCTCTTCAGCAGACACAAAGTTGACCTTCTTCATAGTGGATTGAGCTAAGATCAGCTTATCCAACTTCTCATTCAGTGCCTTAACATCTTTTCTCAACTTTTCGTCTGACTCGATCGAGTGGTGGGTCGAGCTCCGATTGGTGCGATCATACTCTTCTCCATAGCTTCCATTTGAGTTGGCTATGTTCTCCACAAGTTGCCAGCCATCATCTACATCGTGGTTGAGGAAGTTCCCATTGCTAGCTGTGTCTAGCATCTCCCTATACCTAGGCAAACAGCCTCTATAAAGAGTGGAGAGTAGTGATTCATTGTTGAATCCATGGTGTGGGCACTGACTTGTGTAGCCTTTGAACCTCTCCCAAACCTCTGCGAATGTCTCGTTGTTTCGCTGGATGAAGCTCGATATCTCCCTCTAAGCTTGGCTGTGCGACCGGTGGAGAAAAACTTAGCAAGAAAGGCCTTCTTGCATTCATCCCAAGTGGTGATTGTGCCATGGGGCAAGCTCTTCTCCCATTGGTGAGCTTTGTCAGCTAGAGACATAGGAAAGAGTCTCAGCTTGATGGCATCTTCAGAGACACCATTGATCTTTGTCAAATCACAAAGCCTATCAAACTCATCAAGGTGGTCAATGGGGTCTTCACTTGGCAATCCATGGAACATCTTGTTCTGACAAGGTTGATCATTCCCAGCTTGATCTCAAAGTTGTGGTTCTGCACTGGTGGTGGAACAATCCCTTGTCTCTGTTGGTGGCGGTTTGGAGCATCTCCTAGACCAATCGGTCGAGTTTGCCTAGCTCGACCGAGTCCATTGCCCAAAGGGTTTCCATTCCCCTCTGGTACGTCCATTGTATCAGCAACAAGCACCTCAGGTTCCTCTTGTACCCTCTGTGACCTCTGAACCCTCTTTCTACCCGTTGTAAAGTCTAGCTCGACCAAGTCTCTGTAGACCGACTCGATCGAGTTCGCATACACCTGCAAAAAGAGACAAAAACCCAGCAGTACAATAGAACAGGGGTGGTATAGCTTGATCGTCCAAGTGTGTTTGAAACTCAAATGCAACAAAAATATTCCCAAATCGGCAACGGCGCCAAATTGATGATAGGATTTGTGTGTGGATGTGAATAAGATGAAATGAGGTGGAATGCAACAGTGGTGAATAAAGATGATGGTATGGTGCAATCACAATCAATCAATTCCTCTTAACCATCATAGTCAGTAGTATAAGAGGTTATCAATCCAAAATGGGAAACTTGTCACTCTATGAGAATATGAAACAACCAGAAAGTCAAGCAAGCAGAAATAGATTTGGTAACACTAGCAACCTAAATGAAAATGAAATGAAAGTGCAGAAAGTAAACAAAGCAGGTAAATAAGCTCGACCAAGACTCGAGTCGAGTAGGAACAGAGTACCAAGCTCGATCGAGTTG